TTTTTTTATTGCTTTCGTAGTTATAGAACGTAGTCAACTAAAAATCAACCATCTTTTGTTACATTTGCGAATTTAAATATATCGAATACTCTAAAATTGAGCCTTATTCCCTGTGGGACGATAACTCAATCATTACAATTATTACTTGTACAACGAACTTGTACGCTTGTGAGATTCACGCGAACAGTTCTTAACAGAAAAGCATATTGAAATGGCAAAACCTTTTCAGGACTGGGCTGGGCGGTCGAGAATGTTGTGGTGCGTTTGGTACTTAGTCCGAAATATTTGGTAAGATATATTAAAAGGAGAATTTTTAAAATTTATGCAGCATACCAAACTGAACACTATTTTAATAGTTTGGGTCGATATTCTAATAATTCTGGCATCAAGAAAGCAGCCCTACACCTATTTCCTTGAACTGAAGGAAAACACCACAGTACCAAACTCTGCTGCAACTGCAAGGAATCTTTCCTTTTACAAATAAAAGTAAAAGGAAAAAGAGAAAAAGAAGGAAAACGTAAAGGGAAAAAAGGTTTAAAAAGTGTACTATTTCAATACCCAGTGAATATATGCTCAGATAATGCTATTCCTTTGTATTGTTGATTATCAATATTTAGGTTCGATTTGTCTCCCATTATTTCAAAATATTATTTGTTACAGTAAAATTTTTTACAATATATTCATCAAATAAAATATTCTACGCACAATTCAATAAAGTTACTTTAAATTTCAACAACATATTTTTCAAAAAATACTATTCATTACTCAATTTTTTATACAATAATGGGAGACAAACACACACTTCGAATAATGATATTCAACATCACAGGCATCAATTATCAATTTATGTGGTAATTGCACGACAATAAATAATATATTCATTTAAAAGTAATGTCATACGATTTATTTAATTAAATATATCAAATATGACAATATAAACTGATACTCTAACACAATTGGTGTTAAATAACGTTATTCCAATATTTAACCAGACTATGAGACCATTGCCATATTTTCAAAAAACTAAAATATATTTCAATTTTTATAAGAGAATATGATATTTATTTAGTTGTCACATACATTGTTGTTTGCAACTCCATGTCAATGACATTACTCAAATAATGACACTTAACAAGCAACGTCACTCTAGAACGCATATTTGAAATTGCATGTGTGAAATCTTTAAGTATTTAAGTAATTATTAAAGCAAATAAATTAAATTATAATTAATTGTAAACAATCATCTTTTTCTTCGAAAGACATTAGCTACATCAACGTATAAAATGATATCAATAATACCAAGTGTACATTCATTCTCTTACATTGATTTTGACATGATGACATCCCTTTGTTTTTAAAAAAAAATTATGAATGGAAAAAATGTTTTTTTAAACTGTCTAATGGTATGTTGTCACGTGACACAATGTAAATAATGATTTAAAAAATAATGTACATATAGCATGATTAAAATGATATATAGGTCAAAAATGGTAAAAGGTGTGTGTGAGTTCAAATTCAGAAGTAAAGGAGATCAATTATGCTACATGTACATGAGTACATCTTTTTGTTTAATCATTTTTGATATTATGTAACGTGATGACACATGATTGGACAATTTAAAAAAAAAAAAAAAAACTTTCCCGTCCAATCACTTTTGCATTCCCACATAATATCAAACAAGATATAACCCGTGAAATGTACACTTAGCATAATTCAAGGGAGATTAAATGTTCATTTGACATGTCTTTTGTTTTCCGTGGAAAAAACTTTTGAAAAAATGTACCTTAATTTTTTTAAAATCTAATTTTTAATGTTTTTAATGGAAGCCATGTTGGATCAACTTCTTCTAAAAACTTTTCTGATTAAAAAAAACATTTTTATAAAATTAGTTAAATGAATATAGAAGCAAAATTTGAATTTCAGAAGCACCTTTCAACTTTAGCAAAGTCCTTTTAATGCATATAAATAGCGAAGCAACAGGGCACTCGACACAAATCACAATCCGAAAAATCACTGAGAAAAAAAAAAAAAAAATCAGACCCCAGAAATGTATAAAATCTGGAGAAAAACCACCTCAATAATGGCGAATAACCGCGTATCTGATCCAGAAAATATTGATTCAATCGACGACTTGTCATCGTGGGAATTCGTTAGCCCATCTCAGTCCGACGATGAAGAAATCTACTCCTTCAACGACGACGCTTACTCCGCCGCGGAGTCCGAACAAGAAGCGGCGGCGCTTGAACCTCACCCTCCGTCTCATGATGACGTCATCTCCATGGAATCTCTCTCAGTCTCACCAACCCCATTGACTCTTGACGTTGGTTTTACTCATCAGGTATATCATGATGATAGTGAATACGATGATGAAATTGAAGGGTCAGGATTGGATGATGAATTGGTGCCATTGAAACTGAAGGATAGGTTCGGGAAGCAGAGGATAACGAAGATAGGAAGGAGGGGCGGGTCAAGGGTCAACAAATCAAAGAAGGTGTCTTATTACTATAATAGGCCTGGCTGTGTGTATGGCAAGCATGGACTTGGTGTGCAGCACTGCTTTATCTAGCAGGGGTATAAAGGTCAAATTTGTGAAAAGTTCGCGCAAATCTGGTCTTCGAATTATGTATGTAGTTTGACTATTGTTCATGAATGTTGTTAATTTGGTGTTTATATATATGCTATAGCCATGTTCGAGCCTATTTTTCAAGAATAGGCTTGGTTAAAAGTGATTTTTATTGAAAAAAGTTTGGTTAAATGGGTAAAATTTTTGAATTTATATGTTGAATTATTTTATCAGAAGAGCGTGTTCTTGAAAACGAATTTCAAAGAATGAGGCTCGTATTGTGGCTTATTTAATTTTAAAATATTTCAAGTGTTTAGCTACTTGATATGATTGACTTAGTTCGGAACGAGGTTTGGAAATGTTTGGGTGTGAAAAAATGGATATGTTGCTATATAATCTGTCAATTAAACCCATGTTTGTCAAATGTGTACAAACTGTTAGTTGTAATTTATTAACAGCCTTATGCTCAATTTGCTAAGTCTCAACTATACATATATATATGACCGGTTTTGACAACATTGATATATAGTCACAACATCATTTATTATCGTGGGTTTATAAAAATCCACATTCTGCCTCCAATATGTCTCAAATCCCGAATCTCATTCTTCTTCCAATGCTTGGATTTGTCATTTTTACCAAATAATTGTCTTTTCCCACTTAGCTAATCAGCATTGAGGCCGACAATCAACCACGTTTTTTCTCCGACTCAACAGTAGACTCCTCAAGTCCCTCAACCCACGGTGTGAACTGTGCAATTGGAATGGAGATTCCACTGTTAATTGATAGTCTAACTGTGTATATTAAGAACGATGTATCCGATAATATTTATAATGATGTAATTACGATGATTTCAAAGTATGAAAATGTGTAGGCAATGCTTGTAATAATGTATTGGTTTTTAGCATTAATGTTTTGTTGCTTGAAAAAAAATAATTTGTAACTTAATTTTTGACCCATAATGAATAATTTCAAGGTACTTTATGAATCACATAATCATCTTAAATTTTAGTAGAGATGTTGACATCGGGGTTGTCGGAACACCCCTTCTCTAACTCGACAATTGACTTGAATGTATCGACAACTTTCAACGTCAACAAGATCAAATGTGCACAAGCAGCGATAGTTGGATACATGATTTTTGCCCCATTCTTCTGTTTATGCTCCTCAACCAAGGATTTCATTCGATGTTAGAAATAAAAAGACGAAGGGCAAAACATTTCAACGCAACTGAATAAAATTATATACAGTGATGGTATTTACTGAATAATCTTCAAACATATCTGTGTTCCTTCTATAAATAGAAGCAAGAAAGTTTGTGGTCATGGATTCAGTTACACTTTTGCGTACAGAATTGAGTTGAGGTGAGTCAATATCTAGGTAATTCATATCCTACTGTGAGGTACTTGCAGCTGCAACGGTAGAAACCATTGAGTCGACTCCACAGATATTTCGGCCACGACAAATTTTGTAGTATCCCTTCTCTCCCCACTTCTCCCCCCACGAGTTCTTTATGATCCAGTATGGTTTTTCTTTCATTCGAATTGGAGCATAGCCAGCCGAACCATAACCAACCAACAAGACACCATGATCCAAATGCTTAGAGCATATGTATGGACACGAAACTCCTCCAATGTATGTCTGCATGAAAGCCGCATTGATAGCCACTGCATTCAAGAAAGATTATAAGACTGCTGTTAGAAATCCTATCACATATTACTACAATTACAATAAAACAACTGATAATTGTGGAAAATTCATTATGCATATAGAACCTTTTGTGTGGCGCACGTCTTTTTTTTTCCCCCATTTTGGAGCTATGTCTTTAAAATAAATCAATACGTACATAAATGTGGTAGTTTTCAAGATATATGCAATTAACATGGGAGAAGAGTGATGGATTTAAATTAAATCATACATAAATGCGGTNTGTGTGTGTGTGTGTGTAACTGGGATGGTCTAGTGTAAAGGCAGAGATACCTGCAAGAGGACCATTCTTGACCAGATTTGCAGCAATTTGATCTTCATCAAGGGAAACCACACTAAAGTTAGTTACCTTGGCAGCAACCTTGTTCTTGTCAAACTTGCAGGCTCCATGATCCGAGCCACTGTAAGGATAGTCTTCTTCTGGCATGAGTCCACCGGCTTTGAGAGAGTATTCAAAAGCACTATTCATGAGTCCACCATTACAGCCAGAGTCACATGAACCTTTTTCTTCTGGATCACACTGCAGATGGAGAACTCAAATTGAAGACACTAAAAGAAACCGTTGAGAGGTTGTGCCAACTTTGTTCTCAAGATCATACTACCTTGTGAACATTTGAAACACAGTAGACAATTGACATACAGGTATAGTATAACCTTAAACATTAACTTTCACTTCCGTTACTTTTAACCATGTCAAACCTCGCTTCATCCCAGTAAAAAAATTGGAATTTTAGCATCAACCGTGATTGTAACATTCAACCCTTACCCGGAAGTTGCAAATAAAATAAGTAGCTTTTTCCAGTAAATCCCTAAAGACGAATGCTTTTACATATTGAACAGTAATGGACAATTACAGACAGCGAACATGCAAAATAAGGCCATATAAGTCAACAATGGAAATCCAAAAGGAGTTTGACTTCTCTAAGAATTATAAAGTTTTGAGCCCTTTCCACAACTGACCCTTTTTCTCTTTTGTTACTCTTCACAATTAATAGAGCCACCCGAACTTTAAAATAATGCATCACCTAACTACAAACTCAAACCACAGTTACCTAATATGTAAACAAATTAATTATTAGATCTCTGTTATATGCTGTCTTTAATATCATAATCATAAAGAATCTTCACCAAATCCAGCGTATCTTGTATGACCAATCAAACAAATATCTCCAGCCCCAGTTCAAAAATAGAATACAGCTAGAAGTAAAATAAAGCTCACACAAATCTAGCAGAAAATCACAACTAACTTCAATCAAAACATGAAATATAAATGAATAAAACAAATGAAGTACTGGATAAATATTACCTCATGGTCACAATCCACAAGTTGTTGCTCGCTAAGGCTCACAAGCTTCCCTGTTGCCAGAAAGTTGGCACCTTCCAGTGCCCCTGTAGTGCTGAAAGACCAGCATGATCCACAAGAGCCCTAGTTTCCATTCATTCAACAATCACCAAAAAGATTCATAACCAAACTAAAAACATTTCAAGTCAACACCTCAAAAATCCTAATTATACAAAGATAATCAATTAATTAAGCACAAAATAAATAAATAAAAACAAAAATTCAAAGCCTTGATATTCTTAGCAAAAAAATTATACTAAATCCGGATATGTACTGACCTGATTCTTAACCGGCGTGACGGCACCATGATCTCTCCAGTCAAAGTCAGAAGGCAAATCGTTCGTAGGAAGGATTGGAGCCTTGTTAGCATCGATAGGGAGACGGAGACGGCGGTTGAGGCCGAGGAATTGGCGTCGGAACTCTCCAGGAGTGATATCGGAGAACTGAGTGACGCCGTGGGCGGCGGAAGGATCGAGCTTCTGGTGGCGCCTGGCACGGCGCAGATTAGCCTTGAAAACCGATAACCTATAATCATGCTCCTCCTTCGTAGCATACGACCTCCCAAATCTCCTCTTAAACATCGTAAAACGGTGCTCGGCGCTCAGCGAGTTCTCGTTACCATCGCCGCTCCGATCAATGACTTGACGGATCAAAGGATCGTCGCTCCCGACGGCATCGGCTACGGTGAAAGCCGACCAAAACGAAGTCGTAAGAATGAGAGAAGAGAGGAGGAGAAAAACAAAACTAGAAGCCATAGTGTATTGAAGTTTTTCTGAAGGTATGTGAGCCAGTAAAGGAGTGTTGGGTGTATAAAGACCCTTAAGAGAATAATCTTCCAGTCGCGGTTGCTTGGAAAAGAAGGTGAATGATCCAATGAGAGTGCGACGCGTGGGGAAGTTTATTCTACATAAAAGGGCCCTTTTTCTTTTCTTTTAAGATTTTCCCCCTAATTTTCTGTTAAAGATGAAGAATTTACTCTTTCGTTGCAATTTTTTCTTATTTTTTAAATGATGCGATTATTATCACTAGTCGACGTGGCCTTCTTGTTCATTGTCACAATCATGCTATGTGTACAATAATTGGGGCATTATAAATTTTACAATTTCAACATAAATGATTCACTCTCTAAGATTCCCGTCTAAACTAGTAATGATCATTACTGATGATAGATAACATTATTCTTTTTACACAGAAATCCGCATTAGTTGTGATATCTTTACACAATCTGAACGAGTTTTTCATTTTTGTACAAATTTTTTGTTGCATGTTTTTTCTTTTTTTGTCTTGCTCCATGTCCCACCTCCGTCTCCCACCACCCCGACCCATTGTCACCTCTAACAACTCGACTTCAGTCAATAGAGATTAATAGATATTGATAGTTCAAACACAAGTCTTTCGTTGTGGTTACAAATTTGAAATTCCAATATTCTGATATTACACAATATAGGGAATTGGATTTGTTTGAGACCGGTTGGGGTTGTCACTCCTAAAAAACTTTACTTCAACGATAAAAGATTAATAGATATTGACAATTTAAACACAAGTTCTTTGTTGTGGTCATAAATTCAAAATATTGCATGATATGTGTTAGAATTTGGGTGTGACCCGAATTCCTTGTTGAAATAATTGAAAAATTCTAATTGAAGTGCACGTCATGAAGAATTCAAATTTGGAATATTATTGGAGTCCTATGTTATGTTGAAATTCTATTTTGGAAGTCCATTGAGAGTTGGAATTTGTTTTGGACTCAATTTTATGGTATCCTACTTCATCAACAACACTATGTGGGTTTGGACATCTCCTACTTATTCCCTATAAATACAAGACTCTTCTATACAATTTTATAAGGTGAGAAAATAGATTACTAGAATTATAAGATCCATTGTAATTTTCTCTCTTCTCAATTATTCTTGAGTTAATAAAATCTCTTAATTCTTCTGTCATATTCTTGTCCTTTATTCTTTTACTTGATCAAATACTTCATTATTATTTATCATATAATTTCAACATCTCAATCCGATGGTTTGAGCAATTTTGTTATCTTGCTGTTTTACAACAATATGTGAATTGACATTGTTCAAGGTCGTGCAAGTCATTGAGCGGGCACGAATATTAGGGTTTAATGTATTTAGCAACTATAGTGTTCAAACTCCAAATTCATATCATTATCTACCCTACTCTTAAAAGTGTAATGAGAGAAGAGAGGAGGAGAAAAGCAAAACTAGAAGCCATAGTGTATTGAAGTTTTTCTGAAGGTATGTGAGCGAGTAATGGAGTGTTGGGTGTATTAAAGACTCAAAAAGAATAATCTTCCAGTCGCGGTTGCTTGGAAAAGAAGGTGAATGATCCAATGAGAGTGCGACGCGTGGGGAAGTTTATTCTACATAAAAGGGCCCTTTTTCTTTTCTTTTAAGATTTCCCCCCTAATTTTCTGTTTTAAAGATGAAGAATTTACTCTTTCGTTGCAATTTTTTCTTATTTTTTAAATAATGCGACTATTATCACTAGTCGACGTGGCCTTCTTGTTCATTGTGACAATCATGCTATGTGTACAACAATTAGGGCATTGTAAATTTTACAATCTCAACATAAATGATTCACTCTCTAAGACTACCGTCTAAACTAGTAATGATCATTATTGATGATAGATAACATTATTCTTTTTACACAGAAATCCGCATTAGTTGTGATATCTTTACACGATCTGAACAAGTTTTTCATTTTTGTACAAATTTTTTGTTGCATGTTTTTTCTTTTTTTGTCTTGCTCCATGTACGGCCTCCATCTCCCACCAACCCGACCCATTGTCACCTCTAACAACTCTACTTCAGTCAATAGAGATTAATAGATATTCATAGTTCAAACACAAGTCTTTCGTCGTGGTTACAAATTCGAAATTCCAATATTCTGATATTACACGATATGGGAATTGGATTTGTTTGAGACCGGTTGGGGTTGTCACTCCTAGAAAACTTTACTTCAACGATAAAAGATTAATAGATATTGACAATTTAAACGCAAGTTCTTTGTTGTGGTCATAAATTCAAAATTCTAATCTACTGATATTGCATGATATGTGTTAGAATTTGGGTGTGACCCGAATTCTTTTTTGAAATAATTGAAAAATTCTAATTGAAGTGCACGTCATGAAGAATTCAAATTTGGAATATTATTGTAGTCCTATGTCATGATGAAGTTCTATTTTGGAAGTCCATTTGGAGTTGGAATTTGTTTTGAACTCAATTTTATGGTATCCTACTTCATCAACAACTCTACTAGGTGGGTTCGGACTAGGGCTGTAAGCAAAAACCGCCAAACCGGAAAACCGAACCGAAACCGCAATTTCGAAACCGACGGTTTGGTGCCACGTGGACCCGTCAACGAAATGGTTTTGAACCAAACCAAACCGGTCAAAAATGGTTTGGTTTAGGTTTGAGAATTTTAATTATGGTTTGAAACCAAACCGGATCGAAGAAAAATATATAAAATAAAAAAAAAAAAAAA